CATATCACGTGGCACAGGTTTAAGTCTACGCATGCTCTATTTCGTTGACCGCCGTAATTCAAGACAGCCGAACTAGAAATATTATTTATGAATTTCGTAAAAAAGGATTTCAAGCCGAGAACTGATACCGCCGAGAATTTCGAAGCGATTATTTCTAAGAATTTCTCAATGAACTTCATGGGCAAAAGCTTGTTTTGGTTAACTATTCATGATTCATCTACTCGAACAGTATTTTCTGCACGAACAAGGGAAGATCAATGAGTAGTAAACAAATATTTCATTCAGTATGACTCGTTATTCTCTTGACTTGACAATACAGTCTTATAACCTATATTTATGTATTTATATAAACTGTTTTGGCTTCAAAGTCTACTCACAAAGGAACTTGACTGAGGAACATAGCAATAATTATTTTAAGATTTTATTTTATTTAAGAAGTAAAATAAATAATTTTCTACGCACATTCCAGGGTTGGATCATTGCCGTTCGAAGCGTATATGACTCTCCTTTAATCTTTCTTCAAAAAAATGGCGATTCATTAAAAAATATCGATAAATTATAAAATGTAAAGCAATTATGAGAGAGGGTTTGAGCAAATATTAGCCTGCATTTACGTTTAATACATGAAGCATTTTGATTTTAAAGCGAGCCGTGCCACAGGTAGCCCAATCTTGGTTTCTGTGGTGCTATTAGAACGTTTTCCCACAACCGTGGTTAGAAATTCTAATGAGTTTGCTGATATATGCTAATGATCTACGTACCGTACTCGCAGCTAAATTATACCGAAATAATCTACGTGAAGAAGTTTTAATTTTAAAATGTATTAAAAACTGTATTAAATCTATTAAAAACTCAACAAGTGTTACAAGACTTTATATTTTTTATTCAACATCAACGTTTGTATCTGAAGAAAATACAAATGAGTGGATAAACCTTGTCCGCTAGAAGTTTTGCACCTTGTGATAGGGCCAGAGGCTGTCCTGGTCCAATGCGGGTCATCAGCCTGTAAGATGTCGCATCGTGTGTACTACCAAGAAACCCGGCTTGAACATATCTCAAGGTTATCAATGATAAGTTGGGTGTTGAAACAGTGGTAGTGACGGTGCCCACTATAGAATGATCTCTAGGGCTCTGTTATGGGTCGGTATATCTCGTTTGGGAATTCTGGCCAATTTCCTCTGATGTTGACTCATTCATTTACATTTAACCAGCGAATTTGATTTTGGAAATACCTCCACATTTCCTGTATGACTCTGTATATAATTCGCACAACAGTTGATGGGGTAGATATCGAACCACAGAGCTAGACTTTCCACATGCAGATATTTGCGTAGCCACATTAATGCTAGTAGAACTTTATTTGTGATGTTGAGTTGTGAGCGTCCTAGTCGTTGACGTGGTAATCCATCCCTTGTTAAACGGAATATAGCTGGAGAAACATCTGCTACTAGCTGCAGAAATGACTGTGGGGTTTCACCTGTATTTCTCCAAAACAACCATGGCTGTCTTTGTATTAGAGAGAACACATCCCTGCCATCAAATCCACTTCCACGGAAGCCTGGAAGAAGACTCTATTTAACGGCACGTTTTGTATGTCAAACGGAGGCTGGAAAGCAGACAGAAGTATCAAAATTGCTAGTATTTGCAAAAGCAGGACACGTATATCCTGAATCTGCTTCTCAAGTTTACAGTGACTACCAGTCAAACTTCTATTTTTTGAATAATTAAAATCGAATTGTGCAAGTAACACCGGTATTGTAATTAGTCCAGGCTGTTTAGAGTTTTGCACTTCGGAATTTTCTGAGCATTCAGTGCCCATCGAAGACAAGCAGCGAAGGACAAATTAGCTCAAATTAGAGGGAGAGGAGAGTATCTTGCGTCATCATCATGCGAGAGCGAGTTTGATGAAAAAGATGACGTATTGCCGGTACGAACAAGGTATCTAAAAAGAGGAAGGTTGATAATGCAGCAGAAACCCAAGCTCCACATAAGGAAATGTGCTAAAAAGGCTTTGGAAACGATGAGTAAAAGTGATGCTATTTTAAGAAAGGTGGACAAATATCTAGATAAGAATAACTAAGCTATAAAAAATGGAATCAAATCTTCAGTTTCGACTGTTATAGCGAGCAGGTATATCGTCATTTATACTTAAAGATTTGTAATTTACAAACGTTGCTGTTGAATAAAACTTCTATAGAAATCTTGTAACAATTTTAGTGACTTTTTAGAGAATTAAAATCGTTGGTGCTGCCCTATCTCCGGCTTCCAAAAGTTTCATATGCATTACATATGAAACTTCTGAAATGCCGGAAATAGGCCAGCACCAGCAACAGCGGGTTTACTTCTCTAAAAACTAAAGATAGCGTTAATAGTTTTGTAAGCACGTTTTAGAATGGCAAGGTTTTTAACGTTGAGTTCGTTCACATTCCTGGAAATTATGACAAGTTCACAGAACGTGCAAAATAACATTACAGTAAAACCCCGCGTGCCAGAACCTAGATTTTTCCAAGTCAGCCTGAACAGGTTCTTATATAAATGGTGCTTAACTTGAAATCAGGCTATCTAGGTTCTTACATGGGTTCTTTAAATTTTTGGTAAGAAAAAGAGTATTTGTATTAGTGGGCGTGGCATTTTATACATTAAATTTTTCACACATTTTCATGCTAGCTGTACTAAATAAAAACTGTTAGGTAGTAACTATTTAGATCTTATTTCATGGACACAGTGCTCACGTGTAAGCACTCTATCATACCATTCAGATTACTGTATTTCATTATTTACAAGAAAATAAAACAGATTGACTTTATAAATTTGGAAATTAAGAACCTACTTTGAGGTTTCAGCCTGGAATGGTTCTTACGTGAAAGGTGCTTAAAATGAAAATTTCAGCCTGACAGGTTCTTAACTTTTAGATTCTTACACGCGGGGTTTTAGCATTAAAGCTTATTAGACTTTTAGCAACATGGATTGGCCGAGTAGTGGCCTGAAACCTAATGTCCACAACGAAACAGCCGTGCTTCACCTCTCTACACGGCTGTTTCCACTCAATAAAAAATGGACATTAGGTTTCAGTCTTCGGAATGTGCAGAAAAACGCGGCCAAACTGTTTTGAATCGAGGCTGTAGTTTCTGTCATCGAGGGTTTGAGAGTCGGAAGTTCGTAGATCCTTAAAAAAAATGATTTTTCCCCTCA